AAAGAACTAGAGGAATGTTGTATGTTTTGTCGGTGCTATACTGCACCCTGGATTGCTCATGAGGGGAGGTCAAGTCAAGTCTTAGAGCACCAGGTTGAGGTCTGGTCCCTCTATCCCTTTCCTGCGGAGACATAAATAATACCCTCCCCATGGGAGGGTTATCACCCAGGGATTTAATCATCTACTTTCTAGTTGTTATTTATTCTTTACTATGTTCGTTATTTTACTTCCTTCCTTTGATTTTTCTTTTCTAACTCTTGGGATGCTAGCTCATTATTTTTTATTTTTCCTTTTGTAATATAAGCACTTAAGGCTAGGAACTTTCTTTTGATTCCTTCTTTGGCTATATACTACAAACCTTGGTATGCAGTATTTTTGTTATTATTTAATTCTAATTATTTCCTCAGACGATTTGATTTTAACCCATGGTTTATGTGAGTGTGCTTTAAATTTTCCTAGTACAATTTTTAAATGTTCTTTCGGGTTTCTTTCTTTTTTTATTAATCTGTTTGGGAATTTTTAACCATGTGGAGCAGATGATGCCTCACATAGAGATGTTGACCTGGATGCAGGTTTAAATGTATGTACTGTTTCTGATTCTGCTTCTCTTTTTCTTTAAAATTTTTACTTGTCGTTTTAGAGAATATACACAACATTATACACTAGTTCAATGATTTCTACATGCAGAACTCAGTGATACTGATTACATTTTTTGATTTGTGTAACCAAACTCATACATTTCTGAGTTATTCTCCCCCCTCTGATATAAAACTCACTGCCCCCTAAGCTTCCTGTCTAATCTTTTAAATTGCTTTTGTGAATTTGATCTCAGATCTTAAGTGAGCAGAATGCCCCACAGAGATCATTCATTACTTACTAGGTAAGCTAAACAATTGTTTGGTTTTAAGAAGACTTTAGAGGATAATTTTCATTTAAGATTTCAGATTTAAAGATTGCCTCAGCAGTAGTTTCTGGTGTTCAGCCTCAGTGGTTTCATAAAGTCTGAATTTCATGAGATTTCTGAATTTCTGTTTTGCATTTTACTACCTTTTGATCAGAATGCTATAGTTACACAGACTAATGGAGTAGAATTAAGAGTCCAGAAATAAAACCACACATCTGTATCTGTGAAGTATGAATGGATCTTATTTCATTTTCTACATGTAGAAATCCAATTTCTCCATCACTATTTAAGAGATTCTTTATTCCCTATCAAATAGACTTGTCACTTATCACCAAAAAACGAAGTCACTGCCATTGAGTCATTTCTGACTCAGAACAGAGTAGAGCTGCCTCTATGGGATTCTGAAACTACGGGAGTCAAAAGTCTTATCATTCTCCCTCAGAGTGGCTGGTGGTTTTAGACTGCTGCCCCTACAGTTTCAGCCTAACATATAACCTACTCCCCCGCACTATTCTACTCCTGTGGGGTCTGTCATCTGTGGGGTGGGATCACTAGTAGTTGGAAACTGTTCAGTATTAGCTGGTTGTTTGGGTTGTTGTGTGTTTTCTAATAGGAGGAAGCTTCAAAGAGTTTGTGGAAAAATGGAATTGGAAATTGATGAAACATTTCCATGAACTTTTTGAAACCCCCCTCATTTATTATTAGTAGCCCATTGGCTGAAGCTTAAACGTATAGGTTG